TTTCCACAAAGTGATGTTGCTTTTCAAGGGCCAACTAATTTGTACTTATTCCAAAGGAAGGTGACCTAATGGAGTCTGAAAAGCCTTCAACAGTGCAAGTAAAGTTTTGCTGAAGATAATTTAAAAATGGTTACAGTAGTATATAAACAGGGAGTTGCCTAAACACACCAGATTCAGAAGAGGACAGGGAATAAAGAGTATCACTGCTGTGATGTCAGGTGGATGTTGGCTGAAAGCAGAGAATACCAAAAAAATGTTTACTTGTGTTTTATTGACTATGCAAAGTTATTGAACTGTGTGGGTCATCACAAACTCTAAATAACAACGAGTATGGGAATTGTGCTCATAAGAAATCTGTACATAGATCAAGTAATTGTTTGAATGGAACAAAGGGATACTGAATGGTTCAAAATCAAGAAAGTTGTGTGTCTGACCTGTATCCTTTCACCATAATCTGTGTGCTGGCTGAGCAAATAACCTGGAATATGATGAAGAAGGTGCTGTCAGGATTAGAAGAAGACTCATTAACGGTCTGTGATATGTAGATAGCACAGCCTTGCTTACTGGAAGGGAAGAGAACTTGAAATACTTATTGATGAGTATCAAAGACTACAGCCTTTAGTAGAGATTGCACCTCAATGGAAAGAAAGAAAAAAATCCTCACCACTGGACCAATAAATTTCATCCTAATAAAAGAAGAAACCATTGAAGTTGTCAAAGACTTCATTCTATTTGGATTCACAATCAAAGCTCGTTGAAGTCAACAAATAAAAGGGTACCTTACATTAGGTAAGTCTTTTGCAAAAGACTTCTGTAAATGTTAAAGAACAAAGATGCCACATTGAAGACTAAGGCGGGCCTGACCCAAGCCAGGACATTTTCAGCCACCTCATATACACTTGAAAATTGTACAGCAATAAAGAAGGCCATAGAAGAATTGATGCATTTGAATGATGATGTTGGTAAAGAATATGGAAAGTACTGTGGACAGCCAGAAAAACAACCAAGCCTGTCTTGGATGAATGGTGAGATTTGTCTGTTAAGACTTTGACCATGTTGTCAGGAGGGACCAGTCCATGAAGGGTCAGTGAAAATGAGGAAGGTCTCAGTGAGATTGATGGACATCATGGAAGCAACAATGTGTTAAAACATAACAACTGTGAAGATGTCCAGGCAGGGCTGGACAATGTTTCATTCTGTTGTTGCTGTGAGTTGGAAATGACTCGATGTCACTTAACAATAACAACAGCAGCAACAATGGAGATACAAAAAGACTTATACAAAAAATACTCCAAGGTGCCAAAGACACCCATATAAATTGAAGAACATACTTTGCTAATGGATAGAAAGGCTGAATATTGTGAAATGATAATACTGCTTAAAATGATCAATAAATATAATGTAATCCCAATGCAGATTCCATCACCATTCTTTAAAGATATGGTAAAAACAAACACCAACTTTATTTGGGAAGGAAAGAGACCTTGAATAAGCAAACTACTGAAGATGAACAAATTGGAAGCCTCATATTTCCAATCTTCAAAGTTACTATACAGCCTCATAGACAAAACGGTCAAGTACAGGTACAACTGACACAGGGACCAACAGAGCAGAACTGAGAATTCAGAAGTAAATCCATCCACCTACAGACAGAGGATCCTCAACAAAGTGTCAAGATCCATTAAAAGGGATGGTTTCTCTAACTAATGGTGCTAGCAAAATAGTTATCCATTTTCAGAAAAGTGAAACAAGATCCATGCCTCACACCTCATACAAAAAACAACTCAAGAGGATCGGAGAACTAAAGGTAAAACCTAAAACTATAAAAATCTTGGTCTTTATTGTCTCACTTCCATGAATACTTTAAACATTTTCATTTAATCCCATTCTAAGGAAAGTCTATCCCACTCTGTTTCCTGGAGCCCTAGGAGCATAGAGGGTTACAAATTGGGCTGCTAACCACAAAGTCAACAGTTCAAATTAACCAGCTGCTTCATCGGAGAAAGATGAGACTTTTTGCTCCTGTTAGAGCCTGGAGCACTAGTGTGGACCCTCCCCAGTCTAGTGTCTATGAAAGACTGAAAACCAGGGTCTCCATCCTCTGACCTGAGGAGACCTTCGTGCATGCAGGTTTCATTGCCCTCAGACTTGAAAACCAGGGTGACATCAGGGAGGAGTGGCCACTTATTACTGTCCTCAGCTGGCATGTATCCTTTGTATAACTCATTTGCAGATTTAGTAGTCTTGTTTTAAAGTCATTCTTTTTTTTTCTGAGGTAAGCCTCAACTGTCCTTTCTTGTATATCTTACTTCAAAAACTTAAGTAGGAATCATGTAAAAAGTTTAGAATGCTCAGTATGTGCAATTGCAAAAAGAAGTCCATTATAAAGGAAAAACGACTAAAAATTATGTTTGAAACCTAGTGACCCAAATCTCCTTTGTAAGTCCCAGGCATCTCCAACTCAAGATTGAAAAGATAAAACTAATAGCCACTAACCAACTCACAGAAGTACCACCATCCTCCCAGTCACATACAGTAGAAATTGAGCTCAGGCCTCACTTCCTCCTTTCACTCAACACTTGCTGTTTTTGTTAAGTGTCGTAGAGTCAGTTCCAACCCATAGCAGCCCTGTACAGGGTTTCCGAGGAGCAGCTGGTGAGCTTGAACCGCCGACCTTGCAGTTTCAAACGGCTTTGCAGTCTGGTGCATTAGCCCACAGTAGCGTAGTGGTTACGAATCGGGCTGTGAACCACAAGGTCAGCAGTTAGAAACTACCAGCTGTTCCATGGGAGACAGACAAGGCATTCCGTTCCTGTAAAGATTTACAATCTAGGAAACCCTGTACAGGGTCGCTATGAGTCAGAACCGACTCCACAGCACACAGCCACCACACCTATTATTCACTAGGTTTTATTCATTTTTGTCACTTTTGTTAAGTGCCTTTGAGTTGGTTCTGATTCACAGCAACTTTATATCAGATTTCCTAGAGGCTTAACGGTTTGAACCACAAATTTTGTGATTAGCAGTCTAGTGCTAATCCAACACCACTCCCAAATTTCTGAGATAGGCAACTTCTCCACTACCCCATGACCATTGTCTTACTTCAATTGCTGTTGTTGTTAAGTAAGTACAACTCATAGTGACCCTACACAGGGTTTCCAAGGTTGTAAATCTTTACAGGAGCAGAAAGCCTCATCTTTCTCCTGCGGAAAGGCTGGTAGTTTCGAACTGCAACAACAACAACAACAACTTGAGGTTAACAGCCTGATTTGTAACCACTACACTACCAGAAATCCTTTTACTTCAATTAGTACACAGCAATTTTCTTCTTACTAGCCCTTTGCCTCTCCTGTTGTTGTTGTTATGTGCTGTTGAGTTGGTTCCAACCCATAGCGACCCTGTACAGGGTTTCCTAGACTGTAAATCCTTACAGGAGCAGAAAGCCTCAACTTTCTCCCATAGAACAGCTGGTAGTTTCGAACAGCTGACCTTGCGGTTCGTAGCCTGATTCATAACCACTATGCTACCAGAGCTCCTTGCCTCTCCTAGCCACCTCTAACTAAGCTAACCCTTCACACTATGTAAGTTACCAGTTTCAGTCAAGCACAGTTTCAATCAAGTTACATCTTCTGCTTTATAAATATCAATTGCATATGACATCTTGGCATTTAAAGCATCACTGCCCAATGGCACTTTCTGTTAATAATGAAATTGTTCTGTATCTGTGCTGTCTAATATGGTAGCATCATATGGCTAATGAGAACTTGCAATGTGGTCAGTGTCCTTAGGAAGTGGACTTTTGTTTTATTTATTTTTCATTTAAAATTAAATAGCTATTGCACATGGATTCCTGGTGTGGCTCTGTGGACTAAGTCGGTTTGAACCAAAAGGTTGGCTCACCAGCCACTCCTTGTAAACCCTATACAGAGTCAGTATGGGTTGGAACCTACTTGATGGCACTTAACAACAACAACACATGCAGATAGTGGCTGTCATACTGGACAGTGCATATCTAAAAGACAAAATCCAAAATCCTTGGCATGCTATACCTTCACAAGCCAGCAACCATAGCTTTACTCTCCTGCTGTTTCTTCTCCCATCCACTTAATACCATAGGCTCTAGACTCATCCAGCAGCTTACTGTGTGTTGGTTTGTGTGAGTGCTAGTCTGATACAGTCTTTCTTTTCTTTTCTTTCTTTCTTTTTTGAAAATTTCAAGGATTTAATTTTACCTGGATCCATAATCAAAGTCCAAGTAACAATCAAGAAATCAAATGATACATTGCATTGGGCAAATCCACTGCAAAAGAACTCTTCAAAGTGTTAAGCATCAACGATGTTACATTAAGGACTAAGGAGTGCCTAACTCAACCCAGGATATTTTGTATCTTCGCTGCCTTTTTAATGACCGTCTGCTTTCTTCATGTATGAAGATGATGTTCTTGATATCATGTCACTACTCATCTGGTCTTAAGTCATTAGTGTTTAATGTGTCACATTTTTACTTGAGATTGTCTCTAAATTCAGGTGGAATATATTCAAGGTCATATTTTGGCTCTTGCGAACTTGTTTTACTTTTCTTCCACTTAAACGACTGAGAATTGTTGTTGTGAAGTGCCGTCGAGTCGCTTCCGACCCATAGCGACCCTGTATAGGGTTTCCAAGGAGCAGCCGGTGAGCTTGAACCGCCAACCCTACAGTTCAAACAGCTTCGCAGTCTAGTGCATTAACCCAGAGCGCCACACCAGGACTCTGCCGACTGAGGATAGTTGCAGTTAATTTGATTCTTGGATTACTTCGAGCTGGTGTACTTGGTGACGGCCTTGGTGCCCTCTGAGACGGCATGCTTGGCCAACTCCCCGGGTAGCAGCAGGCGCACGGCTCTCGGGATCTCCTGGGGCATGATGGTGGAATGCTTGTTGTAATGTGCCAAGCAAGAAGCCTCAACCGCGATGCGCTCAAAAATGTTATTCACGAAGGTGTTCATGATGCCCATGGCTTTGGACGAGATGCCAGTGTCATGGTGGACTTGCTTCAACACCTTGTATACGTAAACTGAGTAGCTTTCTTTTTGGCTGCGCTTGTGTTTCTTACCATCCTTTTTCTGCACCTTGGTCATGGCCTTCTTGGAGCCTTTCTTCGGAGCCAGAGCGGACTTTGCCGTCTCAGGCATGGCAAACAGACTTGGTTTTCTAAGCGAAAGCAAAACAACACATGCATCTGATACATTCTTTCTTTTCCTAACCTCCCAAGAACACTACAGATCTTTTAAAGCCACACATCATGTGACTTCTGAAAAATTCCTTGTACCTCATTAAACACTTCCCATTTCAGAGCAACATAACAATGCTATTATTGGTAAATGAAGCACCTGAAATTTATTTGTTTCCTTAACTATTACCTAAATCTCATTGTTCCCCTTTAAGCCGTCAGTTGAAAATCGGGTTTCAAACTTATTATTTATGATAGATAATTGATGGGGTTTTTTTTGGAGAACAGAGTCAAATTCAATCTCAAATGAATTACAAAAGAGAACAATTAAAAATTAAGTGAGATCAGAATTTTCACTATGCATATATGCCCTTTGAGGAAAATATAAGGCGAAGAGTTGTTTTTGACCTTAAGAAAACATCTTACATTCTCCCTTACAATTCTAAACTGTATTCTTATTTCTTCTTCCTTTATCTGTATTTCAAATGTGTTCCTTTTTTATGTCAAATCTCTAAAAATGAATTAAGTAATAGATTTTCCACTGAGCACATCATATATCTTCCAAGGTTAAGCAAGAATAAAATACTTTGCCTGGATTTTCCATTGTGAAGCTGATGGGCGTGAGGGAGGATATTTTTAAAGTGTTGCACTGCAGTAGGAAAAAAATCTTGTCAGTTAAAATTGCTAGATACAGGCAGCCTTGTAAATGTTTTATAATCATTGTAAAAATCAAAGTGAACTAATGATATTTTTGAAATTTCCTGGGAAAATGACTTCCTGCTCATTGAATTGTCTTGGCAAAAAGCCCACCTTTGAGCTCACTAGAGGTGGAGAGAATAGCATCCTTCTTGTCCTGATTTTATGGGACGCAAAGCAATCGGCTATGTTTTTGAGAATATTATTATTACCATTTTTAAAAGATGATTATCTTAAAGAGTCTGCTTCTTGGTACTTATTCAAACTATTTTCGTTTCATTGACACTATTATGTACAGACAGTTGAAAGAATAGTAGCTATTAAACCGAGTTGAATATTACAGAAAATTAATGCATATTGACTGGGTTTCTAATGCTTCCTATTTTTACTACTTAGAGTTTTATAGTCAATCAAATTTAAAATTATGTGCCATGTGTTATTTGATAGTCAAATCTAGAAGTGCTGGTAATCCTAAAACTTTTGTTTTTGCTGGGAATGGTGTCAGGAAATAGTTATGTAGTTTACATAAGTGTTAATCTAACTCTCTTCTCTTTTTATTTTCTTTTTGACCACTTGAGCTGGGTGGGAAACCCTCCCCCATGTTCCTAGGTACACTGTTTGCTCATACATTTGTCAATGAATTTACCCTGTTATATCACGATCAGATATTTGAATTTCTGCATTCCTAGTGGCCTGAAAACTTGAAGCTGGAAGCTAGGTAACCCAGACTATCGGTCATGTGTGCAGCCCCCGGGGTCTACATTGCCTAGACAGGCACTTACTAAGTAAATGGTACAGGGAGTGAAAAAAGGAGGACGGGCAAAAGGGGATGGCTTTTTATGGGACTCAATGAATATCCTCTTCAAAGTTTTATAATTTAGGAGACCTAAAAGCTTTGCAGTCTTTCAACATAGAAGCCAAAATTAAAAGTCAGGGTAAAGTAATATTATATTGATTAATTGATGGCCAGTTTATATTAAAGGTGTGAAAAACTGAACTACCTCCTACCCTTTCTCAAAATATTGTCCCACAATAAATTGCAGCCCTTTGAAATCATTTAATGAATATTTCAAGAACGCATTCTTGCACAAAAAAACAGGGAGGAAGTAGGATAAGTGGTGTCATTTCAAGGACATTGCAATCAATGAGGTGAAGCAAAATGTGTATGAATTGCTGAGTGTAAAACTGATCATCTGCTCAGTTAACCTTCATGCAATTCACAATAAAAAGTTTAAAAAATACCTTTTTGAAAGATATATATTTTTTGTGCAGTGATTGAAAGATCACTTCAGAGAGAAGCTCCTGTTCATTTGAGTCTCCTAGAATGTATCATGATTTAAATTTTCATATCCTTATCAAATAATATTTGTTTAACATGCAGTGTTCTTTGTAGCTTTGGAAAGTGAAGAAATTTCTTTTTGCGTTGCTGTATCTTGGTGATGTTTTACTGTTATATGAATTCCAGAGCCTCCTCAGGTAGAGTGTGATCTTTTTTTAAACTCAATTGTGATTTCTTGTGCTTGGGGAATCTGTCTAATATCGCACATCTGCCCATAGTATCATACTTCCCCCCACACCCAATGACCATGCAAATCATGTTAAACTAGAGAATTTTTATGTGATTTGGTGAATTCAGTTATGGGTATTGGAATGTTTACCCAGAAAGTCACCATTAAATGTTTAATTGATAATCCTAATGATTAAAGAGAATGTTTTTTGGAAAGACTCTGCCTCATTTTACATCTTGCCAACTATATTCCCAATTCCCTTAAAAAACAAAGACCAACCTTTCAACAGTCACTGAGTTTTCTTGAGTTGGACTTTTAAGGAACTTGTGCATGGTCGGTTCTATTGTACCAGTGACTATCCTCATTTCTTTGTATTCCATCCACTCCTCTCTCAGATGTTTTCTCCTGCTACCCACTGTACTAGGAGCTCTGGTAGTGTAGTGGTTACGAATCGGGCTGCAAACTGCAAGGTCAGCAGTTCAAAACTACCAGCTATTCCACGGGAGAAAGATGAGGCTTTCTGTTCCCATAAAGATTTATAACCTCAGAAACTCTGTGCAGGGTCACTATGAGTCAGAACCGACTCCATGGCACATAACCACCAGTTCCCTTTTCATTTTGTAGCTCTAGGTCTTTGCACATTTCAATATTGGATTTTACTTTGTCTAATCCCTCCCTTTGAAGTGTTCTGTTTGGGTCTTTTACTTGTGATCATTTCTTCTATTCTCTTTAAGTTACTGTATGCAAAAGGAGCTCTGGTAGCATAGTGGTTATGAATCGGGCTGTGAACCTTAAGGTCAGTGGTTCGAAACTACCAGCCGCTCTGCGGGAGAAAGATGAGGCTTTCTACTCCAGTAAAAATTTACACCTCGGAAACCCTGTACAGGGACGCCATGGGTCGGAACTTAACAACAACAACAACATGTTCAAGCACTAGTTTCAGAGTCTTTTGTGACATCCAGTTTGGTCATTTCTTTCTTTCATTTGTTTTCAATGACTTTGTTTTCTTCGATCTTTCTTGCAATATAGTTGGAAAATTTTAAATGTATTGAAGTGTAGGACTTTTCAGGAATTTAGTTATTGATCCACCTAGTCAAACTAGCATTATGCTGTTCTATCTTCTTTAAAGCTCTTGCAAAATGTTTTCTTCAGTTAGGAGTCTCTTATAATCTCATTTCAAAGCTCACTGAGAATGCCAATATTGCAGGAGAAAGGATTACTTCTGAGGTTTAATCAAAAAGAGTTTATCCTTTCATCTCTTTCACTATCTTCTCACTAACCTATTAAGAGTGTTTTCTTATAAAATATTTTTCAAAAAATAGCTTTAATTCCTCAAGGCAAATCCTGAAGTCTGAGATTCTCTATCTACACATGTGGTGCCTATTTTCGGCAATGGCTTTTAGTATTTTTCTTGTAATGTATATGTAGCAGGTGATATTAACACATCTGATGTAATCCTGTTGGTATAACTGGGATTATCCACAATTTGCTTAATTCACCAAATCTAATATGACATCAATTGTAAGATACACTATTTTATACCACTGAATAAGAAAAAACTGTTTCTAATTAAATTACGACATTCATTGATTGTAAGAAGGATAATTATTTCATAGTTGTTATGGAGTTTTTTAACTGCCTTCCCCATTACCTAAATTAGCATGTGTCTACTCTCTAACCAATGAATTAATCTCCCTCCCCTCATAGCCTTCACACATATTTTAAAAAGTGTTTTAATGTACAAATTAATATTGATGAAAACAATGATACCAACTTGTCTTTAATGATGGCTCCTTTTACACATGTGGATCCAAGGCAAATGAAATCTTTGACATCTTCAGTATTTTATTTCTCATGATATTATTTACTGGTCCATTTGTAAGGATTTTGTAGTTTTCTTTCTTTCTTTCTTTCTTTCTTTCTTTCTTTCTTTCTTTCTTTCTTTCTTTCTTTCTTTCTTTCT